GACTTCGTAGAACTAAATACTTGTAGAACTGTAATTTTCTCTGTGCTGTCTATTTTGATTTATGTTTTACGATTGCATGTACGTCATCATAGACTACTTTAGCATATCTGCTGGAAGTGAATAATTTGCAATAAAACTGTAAGCAGCCTGGAAGAAGATTACCTACATCACCACTTTTGGGGTGTAGATACTGTAGGTCCTGGAAGAATGAGAGTGCAAAATAGTAGAAGGATTTTGCCAAAAAAAAATCTTTCATTGAATTTGAAGCTGGTCTGATAAAGGACAAATTTAAACATAATTTAAAGGTAATTGAAGTTTAGCTTTTGGTTCTATATATCATGAGCTAGCAGAAGGTGGATGTGCAAACATTCTTTTTGAAACGGAACCATACCCAGAATAAGCCTTGGTGAGAAGGAAATCAAACTCACAGAATCACAAATGGCAGTAATTTTGGAACAAATACTTTAATATCAAGATTATTAGTTGAAACAGACTGTCTTTTATGTTATCCTTCCCTCCCTTTTCCACCTGTTTATCATTTTGTTATGTTTACATGTGTGGCCTTTACTTCAGATGGTATAAGGTGGCTTATTTCAGTGACACCAGACTATGGAGTGCATGGTGCAAAATTACTGCTTTTTTAGGAGATAATTATAGGAATCAAGTAAGTTGTTGAAAAGTGTAATAGAATTCTTCCTTTCTGCAGCATTTTATTAACTGAATTAAGATCCTGGGTATACTGGTATCCAGTGGCAATGTGTTCCAATAGTCGATGTTGTAGCAGGTTTTTATCTTTTAGCTACAAGCAGCATCCGATCAATGTTTTAAAAAAGAGAAGTGGTGTAGGACATCTACATGTCCCTTTTTTTTCAGCTCAAGAGCAATGTTGAGGTTCACCTAAGAATATAAGGAGAACAACAACATAAAGAGGATGGAACATCAGAAATAGAAGAAGTAGTGGACTCTACCCCAGTTTGTCGATCCTTCACTAAGATCATGGCTGAACTTCAAAATCAATTCTGTTGGCTCACACTATTCCCCATATCCCCCAATTCCTTTAGTGCCTAAAAGTATCTATTTCAGACGTTAATATGTTTTGGATTTAGCATCCACAAGCCCTCTGGGATGGAGAATTCGAAAGATGCATAACTCTTTAGAATATAGAACATAGAACATAGAACAGTACAGCACAGTACAGGCCCTTCGGCCCACGATGTTGCACCGAACTTTTACCCTAATCCTAATGTTTATCCAACCTCCACCCCTACCTTATACTATCATCCACATGCCTATCTAATAGCCGCATAAATGCCCCTAATGAGGCCGACTCCACGACCCTCTCCGGCAATGCATTCCACGTCCCTACCACTCTCTGAGTAAAGAACCTACCTCTGATGTCTCACCGATATCTACCTCCACTCATTTTAAAACTATGCCCCCTCGTAAAAGCTACCTCCACCCTAGGAAAAAGTCTCTGGCTATCCACTCTATCTATACATCTGATCATTTCGTACACCCCTATCAAGTCCCTCTCATCCTTCGTCGTTCTAAAGAAAAATGCCCTAGTTCTCTCAACCTTTCCTCATAAGACCTTCCCTCCATTCCAGGCAACATCCTGGTAAATCTCCTCTGCACCTTTTCCAATGCTTCCACATCTTTCCTATAATGAGGCGACCAGAACTGGACACGATACTCCAGATGTGGCCCAACCAGGCTTTTGTATAGCTGGAGCATAACTTCATGGCTCTTGAACTCAATCCCTCTATTAATGAAAGCTAACACACATACGCTTTCTTAACAACTCTATCCACCTGGGTGGCAGCTCTCAGGGAACTGTGAACGTGAACCCCAAGATCCCTCTGCTCCTCCACACTGCCAAGAATCTTTCCATTAACCCTGTATTCTGCGTTCAAGGTTGTCCTTCCAAAATGAATCACCTCGCATTTTTCAGGGTTAAACTCCATCTGCCACTTTTCAGCTCAGCTCTGCATTCTATCAGTGTCCCTTTGTAACCTAGAACAGCCCTCCGCACTATCCACAACTCGACCCATCTTCGTATCGTCTGCGAACTTACTAATCCACCCTTCCACTCCTTCATCCAAATCACTTACAAAAATCGCAAATAGAAGAGGACCCAGAACAGATCCTTGTGGTACATCACTTGTAACTGAGCACCATGTTGAATATTTTCCGTCCACTACCACCCTTTGTCTTCTAAGGGTCAGCCAATTCTGAATCCAATCTGCCACGTTTCCCCCTATCCCATGCCTCCTTACTTTCTACATGAGCCTACCATAAGGAACCTTATCAAATGCCTTACTTAAATCCATATATACCACATCCACTGCTCTACCTTCATCACGTGTTTGGTCACCTCTTCAAAGAAATCAATAAGGTTTGTGAGGCATGATCTACTCCTCACAAATCCATGCTGACTATCACGAATCAAACTGTGCCTACCCAAGTGATCATAAATCCTATCTCTCAGAGCCCTTTCCAATAATTTGCCCACCACTGAAGTCAGACTAACTGGCCTGTAATTTCTGGGGTTATCCCTATTCACTTTTTTGAACAAGGGAATGACGTTTGCCATTCTCCAATCTTCCGGTACTATACCCGTGGACAGTGAAGATGAAAAGATCATCGCCACAGGCCCTGCGATCTCTTCCCTCGCTTCCCTTGGAATCCTTGGATAAATCCCATCAGGCCCAGGGGACTTATCTATCTTCAAGTTCCTCAAAACTCCTAGTACATCTTTCTTACTAACATCGACCTCCTCTAGCCTACCAGCCTTTTTTACACTGTCCTCCCCTACAACTAGGTCCCTTTCAGTTGTGTGAGTGAAGAAGTGTCTTCTCATCTTAGTCCTGTGCGGTCTATGGCTTATTTTCAGTCTATGACCCCTGGCCCTGGTGAATGGATACAGCACCCATTTTGTCAAATCCTGTTAAGAATTTTGTACTTCTCAACATGGTTTCCTCTTTTCTTCTGAACTCTAGAGAACTGGCCTATTTTATGTAACTTCTCTTCACAAGGTGTTGATTTAGTGTATCACTTTTACATCCTCTGTAAGGCAAATACGTTGTTCCTTAAGTAGGGAGACCAGGGATTACACAGTTATTTTTGTCTCAGTACTCCAGGTATGGTCTCATCAAAACTCTATATAATTCCTTGATTTTGTACTAAAATCCTTGCGCTAAAGGTGAACATGTGATTTGACTTCCTACTTGGTTGCTTCACCGATATGTTGCCTTTCTGTGATTTGTGTACACTGACCTGTAAATTCCTCTGCATTTATTACATTCACTTATTAAAAATAATTTTGTTTTTCCATTCTTTCTGCCGAAGTGCACAATGTCACATTTCTTCAAACTTGACAGCATTTACCACGTTTGTGCTCAATGATTGAATCAGTCTGAATCCCATTGCTGTCATTTTGTTTTCTGCTCACTGCTTACTTCCCCCTCCACCAAGCTTTGCTTCAGCAGCAAGCTTGGATATTTTACACATGCTTTCCTTATATAAGTCATTGATACAGGCTGTAAATGGGTGAGGCTTAAACACTGATCCTTGTGGCACTCCTCAAGTTGCATTGCATCATTGTGAAAATGACCCAGTTATTCCTACTGCCCATTTTCTGTATGTGAGCGAATCTTCAACGTATCTTAATATAGTATCCCACTACCACAAAAATTAAGCTTATTTTAAAAATTCTTGCATGATACCTAAATAAATATGTCTTCTGAAAATTCAAATGTGCCACATTAACTTCCTCTCCCTTATCCCCTGCTGCTTACCCTTCAAAAGACTCAATAGATTTGTTAAACATAAATACCTTTGCATAAAACTGCAGTATTGAGAGTCTCTTTTAATCTAATCATGTCAATCATAAACATCACTATTTCCCTTATCTGCCTTGTCTGGGACAGGTTTCTCAAAATGTGCAGGGCACCTCTGGGCTCCAATGCTTGACCAGATAAGTTGTGACCTTTCAAAGATGGTGGCAGTGCCAGGAATCCCGGGACACAATGTTGAGTACTTCTATGTATGGTGACTGGGAGAAATCGACAAGCAGGCCACCATAGGGGCATGGCACATAGTTAATAAGGTGAGCCTTGGAGGATAATATGAGAAAACCCCCTGAGTCTCGTGGAGACAAACCATTCATGAACCTCACCAAAAAATGGCAAATGGTATGTTGGCCTTCATTGCGAGAGGTTTTGAGTACAGGAGCAAGGATGTGTTGTTGCAGTTATACAGAACATTAGTGAGGCCACACCTAGAATATTGTGTGCAGTTTTGTTCTCCTTTTCTGAGGAAGGATGCTTTTCCTCTCGAGGAAGTGCAACAAAGGTTTACCAGGCTGATTCCGGGGATGCCAGGTCTGACATATGAGGAGATTGACTAGATTGGGATTGTTTTCGCTCAAGTTCAGATGAATGAAGGGAGAGTCTCATAGACATTTATAAAACTCTAACAAGACTAGACAGGATAGATGCAGGGAGGATGTTCCCCATGTGGGTGTGTCCAGAACCAGGGGTCACAGTATGAGGTTTTGGGGTGGACAATTTAGGACAGAGATGAGGAGACATTTCTTCATCCAAAGAGTGGTGAGCCTGTGGAATTCATTACCACAGGAAGTAGTTGATGCCAAAATATTGAATGTGTTCAAGAGGCAGCTCGATATAGCACTTGGGGCGAACGGAATCAAAGGTTATGGGGAGAAAGCAGGATTAGGCAATTGAGTTGGATGATCAGTCATGATCATGAAGCATGACAGAGCAGGCTTGAAGGGCTGAATGGCCTCCTCCTGCTCCTATCTTCTATGTTTCTATGTTTCTGTGACATTCAGTTGATTTCCGATAAGATTCAGCCCATTAATTTAAAAAGAAGTTTGAAGTTGTTTATCTACTGTTATTTCCCTGTGCATTGGAGTTGAAGGAAGGAAAGAAAGAGAATGAGAAATTTACTTGCATTTGGGGAATTAACTCCTGATCGCATTATAGTCCAGCTGTTGAGGTGTCCGAAGAAGTGATGTCACCTTGAGACTGACTGGTCTGCTGTACGGTTGTTTGGAAGGAGGAAATCTTGCAGCAGTTCCCTTCCACTGAACCATAGCAGCTTCAAGAAAGAAACAGTCTAAATATATTTCACTGTAAAATCTATTAATTCTTACAGTAGATGTCTTTTGCCGTTTTTAATTTTTGTGGATGCATTAAATAGTGTTACCAGATACTCCGAGACAACAAGGTGCAGGGCTGGATGAACACAGCAGGCCAAGCAGCATCATAGGAGCAGAGAGGCTGACGTTTCGGGCCTAGACCCTTCATCAGAAAAGGGGGAGGGGAAGGCGGTTCCGAAATAACTAGGGAGAGAGTGGAGGCGGATAGAAGATGGATAGAGGAGAGGATAGGTGGAGAGGAAACAAACAGGTCGAAGAGGCGGGGATGGAGCCAGTAAAGGTGAGTGTAGGTGGGGAGTTAGGAAGGGGATAGGTCAGTCCAGGGAGGACGGACAGGTCAAGGGGGCAGGATGAGGTTGGTCGGTAGGAGATGGAGGTGCGGCTTGAGGTGGGAGGAGGGGATAGGTGGGAGGAAGAACAGGTTAGGGAGGCAGGGACGAGCTGGACTGGTTTTGGGATGCGGTAGGGGGAGGGGAGATTTTGAAACTTGTGAAATCCACATTGATACCATTGGGCTGCAGGGTTCCCAAGCGGAATATGAGTTGCTGTTCCTGCAACCTTCGGGTGGCATCGTTGTGGCACTGCAGGAGGCCCAGGATGGACATGTCGTCTGAGGAATGGGAGGGGGAGTTGAAATGGTTCGCGACTGGGAGGTGCAGTTGTTTGTTGCGAACCGAGCGTAGGTGTTCTGCAAAGCGGTCCCCGAGTCTCCGCTTGGTTTCCCCGATGTAGAGGAAGCCACACCGGGTACAGCGGATGCAGTATACCACATTGGCAGATGTGCAGGTGAACATCTGCTTGATGTGGAAAGTCTTCTTGGGGCCTGGGATGGGGGTGAGGGAGGAGGTATGGGGGCAGGTGTAGCACTTCCTGCGGTTGCAGGGAAAAGTGCCGGGTGTGGTGGAGCTGGAGGGGAGTGTGGAGCGGACAAGGGAGTCACGGAGAGAGTTGTCCCTCCGGAAAGCAGATAAGGGTGGGGAGGGAAAGATGTCTTTGGTGGTGGGGTCGGATTGCAGATGGCGGAAGTGTCGGAGGATGATGCGTTGGATCCGGAGGTTGGTGGGGTGGTACGTGAGGACGAGGGGGATTCTTTTTTGGTTCTTATTGCGTGGACGGGGTGTGAGGGATGAGGTGCGGGAGATGTGGGAGACACGGTTGAGGGCGTTCTCGACCACCGAGGAGGGGAAGTTACGGTCCTTGAAAAACGAGGACAACTGAGATGTACGGGAGTGGAATGCCTCATCCTGGGAGCAGATGCGGCGGAGGCGAAGGAATTGGGAATAGGGGATAGCATTTTTGCAGGAAGGTGGGTGGGAGGAGGAGTATTCTAGGTAGCTGTGGGAGTCGGTGGGCTTGAAATGAATATCGGTTTCTAGGTGGTTGCCCGATATGGAGACAGAGAGGTCCAGGAAGGGGAGAGAGGTGTTAGAGATGGTCCAGGTAAACTTAAGGTTGGGGTGGAAGGTGTTAGTGAAGTGGATGAACTGTTCGAGCTCCTCGTGGGAGCACGAGGCAGCGCCGATACAGTCATCAATGTAACGGAGGAAGAGGTGGGGTTTAGGGCCGGTGTAGGTACGGAAGAGGGATTGTTCCACGTAACCTACAAAGAGGCAGGCGTAGCTTGGGCCCATGCGGGTACCCATGGCTACCCCCTTTGTCTGTAGGAAGTGGGAGGAATTGAAAGAGAAGTTGTTGAGTGTGAGGACGAGTTCGGCTAAGCGGATGAGGGTATCAGTGGAGGGGGACTGGTCGGGCCTGCGGGACAGGAAGAAGCGGAGGGCCTTAAGGCCATCTGCATGGGGAATGCAGGTGTAGAGGGACTGGACGTCCATGGTAAAGATGAGGTGTTGGGGACCGGGGAATTGGAAGTTCTGGAGGAGGCGGAGGGCGTGGGTGGTGTCACGGACATAGGTAGGGAGTTCCTGGACCAAGGGGGAGAAAATGGAGTCTAGATAGTTGGAGATCAGCTCGGTGGGGCAGGAGCAGGCGGAGACAATGGGTCGACCAGGGCATTCAGGTTTGTGGATTTTGGGAAGGAGATAGAAGCGGGCAGTGCAAGGTTGGGGAACGATGAGGTTGGAGGCCGTGGGTGGGAGGTCACCTGAGGTGATGAGGTTGTGGATGGTTTGGGAGATGATGGTTTGGTGCTCAGGGGTGGGGTTTGGGAGATGATGGTTTGGTGCTCAGGGGTGGGGTTTGGGAGATGATGGTTTGGTGCTCAGGGGTGGGGTACTCTGGATACTCTGGTTTATTTTCTACTTTGTTAATATACATTTTTAAAGGAGGAAGTTATTGTGATAAAGTTCTTTACAATGGATCTTCTTTCAAATAAATTCAGGGCATTTCTATGATTCATTGTTAGCAAATAAAAGGTACCTCTCTCTATTTCTTCTCTTTCAGGTGAAAATGTTTTAATAGGAGTTTCATATCACTCAGATAACTTCAGTTCATCAATTTTGGCTTTCATTGACAAAAAGCATTTAAAATTGCAGATTATAATCTCTGCTTTGGAAATAATTTATTACACCTATCTTTATTGTACTCTAACACTGATTGGTTAATCATTATGCTACTGTCAATAAATTTTGGTAATCTCCTCAATTATGTTATTTTGTTCATGGATATTGTGCTCATCAAAAGCTGTTCATGCTCAGTCAGAGACGCAGCGTGAAAGAAAAACAACACAAGAATATAAGAAATAAAAGCTGAAGTCGACCACTGAGCACCTGAGCATGTTTCAACATTTAATACGGGCATGGCTTATCTACTATTTTAATTCCATGCTTACCATTTCCCTTGGTTCCTTGATAGACCAAAATAACTGTGATTATTTTATGCTTGAATATACCCAAAATTGGATTGCCCACCATATTTTGCGATATAGAATCCTATTGTTTCACAACACTTTGAGAGGGGAAATGTTGTCTCATTACAGTTTCAAAATGATCATTCTCTTTTCCTGAGTCTGCTCTCATGTCCTAAATTCTCCTCCTGGAGGAAAGACCCTTTCAGTGTCTACCCTGTTAAGCCCTTTGGATCATTGTACATTACAATGAGATGCCTCTCATTCTTCTAAATTCCGAAGAGTTGAGACATAATTTACTCAGCTTTTCACCAAAGGCCAACTTCCCTATCCAGGAATCAACCTAGTGAACCTTCACTATACCTTCTCCAATGCCGACATATCTTTTCTTAAATTCCAAAACAAAATTGCACACAGTACTTAGGTGTTGTCTCACCAAAGCCCTAAGCAATTGGAGCAAAATATCTTTATTCTTGGACTACAATCCATTTGCAATAAAGGCCAACATGACATTTTTCTTTCTAATTGTTCGCTGTACTTGCAAGCTAACATTCACACTTTCTTCATAACATAGACTCACCAGCTCATTGGTTGCATTTGCTGAATTGTCTCTGGTAAAGGCTTGTCACGAGTTTCAGGCAACAACAAGCTTAATAATCCAGCAGTTACCATCAAACTGCCCATTAACATGAAGGCCAATATTTCACTGTGTACAACTGAAAGAAAAAAGACAGAATTTGAATTAATGTGAAGATTCAGTATGAAAGCGATCTATTGTGTAAGCTGGAAATCTGAAATAAAAACTGAAAATGCTGGAAATACACAATAGTTTAGGTAGTATCTGTGGAGCAAGCAGCAGAGTTAATATTTTGTGTAAATGTCTTTCATCAGAAGCCTCAGTTTTCTATATTCTGAATGTGAATCTCAATCTTTGCAGGAGTGGAGTGGCAAACCAATGGTGATTGACACACATTAGAAGATTCAGGCCAATAATAATACAAGACAGCACAGGAACAAGCCTGCACCAATTTATTATCCTTATTTAGATCCGCTACTTGTTGCCCAAACAAGGTTTTTATTCCTCTGTTTGCCTCCCATTCATGTGTCTTTCAAGATACGCCTTAAATGTTGCTGATATGCCTGCTCCTGCCACCTCCACTGGCTGTGTGTTCCAGGCACCCACCACCCTCTGTGTGAAAAATTTTCTGCATACTTCTCCCCTAAACTTTTCCCCTCTTGACTTGAACCTGTACCCTCTTGTAGTTGACCGTTCCACCCTGGGAAAAAGCCTCTGACTATCCACCCTATCTATGCCTCTCATAAACTGTGTAAACAATCCAAGTTTATGCAACCTCTCCTCATAGCTAAAATCCTCCAGACCAGGCAACATCCTGGTAAAATTTCTCTGCACCGTCTCCAAAGCATTCATGTCTTTCTGGTAGTGCGGCAACCAGAACTGTATGCTGAATAACATTTTATACAGCTGTAACACAACTTGCCAACTTTTATATTTGATGCCCCGGTCAATGAAGGCAAACGTGCTGTACGCCTTTTTGACCACCTTAACCACCTGTGTCGTCACTTTCAGGAATCTATGGATCTATACGCCCAGATCCTTCTGTATGTCAACGTTCCTGAGGGTTCTGAGATTTATTGTGTAATTCGCACCTGAATTTGATCTTCCAAAATGCATCACCTGGCATTTGTCCAGGTAAATCATATAATCAATGAAGTTTAAATGTAGAGGTAAATAAAATATTAGTTCTCTCGTAACAATGCATTTCGAAATATTTGTATTAAAGCAGGAACTTGCTGATGAATGCACTCTACACAAAAATATGCTTACATAATTTTTCTATCAGCTCAAGTCTATTATGAATTATAATTTCTGACGAGACCGCCAACTTTATGTTACAGTCAGATGATGTGCTAGCAACGTTTTTGTTTAAAGAAGGTAAAGGTTTGGGATCTCAGGTATTTACTAAGAGGATAAAGCCACAAGATTCTATGGTTTTGAACAAACAAAGCAAACTTTACCATACAAAATTAGAACAGTAAATCAATATAAAATATATAAACAATTTATAATCTAACATTTAGAATTAACATGAGGTAAGTGTGGATAAAGGCTAAATTATGATTGAACACTCCATACAGGATACAAAATAGTAAATGCGGTAAAAAACAAATTCAATGGATTTCTTAGCAACCATCTCCCACACTGACAGTCATGGCACTGCAAGTAATCAAATCTTGTTAAAAATTGTGTCTTATTTACAAGGGATTCTAATTCTTCATTCTCAAAGATCTAGCCTTGAAACTCCATCTAAATGTATTCCATCACTGTGTACCCTATAAATGTTCATGTTCTGGTAGTTCATTCTCTTCCCCCGGGGTTTCATTCCACTATACTCCTGATGCCGCACACTGGTAGCTATTCACAAGGGCACTTCCAACTCTTCTGTAGACAACTGTCTTCACTATGCTGACACAACACATGGAGTTTCTCTAGGCTCCAATATTTCTTGGCTGCATCAAGTGACCAATTATTGTGGGCTTCCTTTAACCACATTTCCAGCTGTGCTGAACTATCAATGGCATCAAGAGATCTTGCACCATCTAGAATCTACTAACAGCAGCATTTGCTGCATGAAGCCACTTCCTTGCTTCAACACCCATCAGCTTCTACACTATAACTGACTTCTCTCTGAGTATACATGAAAATAAATTGAAACAAGAGAACATTTGTAAGCTCTAACAATGACAACATTTCATGCTCTGCACAAATGTGTTTTACAGCTTTTTGGAGTTTACCAAATCAGTCTACCACACCAACCCTCCTCCTTCCATCCTAATAGTCCACCAATGGTCTTTCCCCTAGTCTTCTACTGCTGGCTTCCCAGTATGTTGTGAGTCAGACTGATAGACTGGTAATCTGTCATGTGAGCAATGAACATCCAAACATCTGCTCACAACCATTTTCTCAAAGGCGACTGGAGATAGGCAATAAATACTGGGCCAGCTAGCAACACTCAACCTCTTTTAAATAGATTTTAAAAAATGAAACGGGAGAAGTAAAGGCCTAGTGGTATTATCACTGGACCATTATTTCAGAGACCCAGGTAATGTTCTGCGACTCAGGTTCAAATCCTGTTATGGCAGGTGGCAGAATTTGAATTCAATAAAAAAAATTCTGAGATTAAGTGTCTAATGATGATTATGAAACCATTGTTGATTGTCAGAAAAACCCATCTGGATCACTAATGTTCTTTAGGGAAGGAAACTGCCGTCCTTACCGTATCTGACTTACATGTGACTCCAGACACACAGCAATGTGACTGACTCTTAACTACCCTCTGGGCAATTAGGGATGGGCAATACATGCAGGTCTAGCCAGCAATGCCCATATGTTGTGAATGAATTAGAAATGGGAGTAGATCACTCAGCCTTTTGAAACTGCTCTACTGTTCAATAAGATCATGGCTGATCTGATTACTCCACATTCAAGCCCACTCATGACAACTACTTGCTTATCAAGAATCTCTATATCCCTTCTTTAGAAATACTCAAGGACTCTGCTTCCACTAACTTTTGAGAGGTGAGTTCCAAAGACTCAGAAACCCTGTTGATCATACTGGGACAAACTAACACTAGACCTGCAAGGGAATTTCTGGAAGCCTGGTTCTCAACACGGGACTCCATTAACAAACACATAGAAATAGACCTTATATACAGACCACTGCTAAAACAACGGAACCAGAAGCAATGAGACTATCACACCAGAGGATCATATAAATCCAGAAAGAAGCAGAACACCAATGCTTCGATTAGAGGTTGCACTGGTATTGCCTAAAAGAGTAATGCGACATCTGCACACTACAGAACAACTGGCTTGGTGAGCTAATGAACAACTGCTTCCACAACCCAAGCTACAAATCTTTGCTAAGACCTTAGAAAGGAAGCATATTATTTAGCTAGAGAGAGGTTGCAGAATATCATGGTACAGAGAGATATAGGTGTCTTGGTACATGAATCATAAAAGGTTTCATCCAAACAGCAAGAGATTGCAAAGGCAAATGGAATATTGTAGTTTATTACAAGAAGAGTAGGATTCAAAAGTAGCGATGCTTTTTCTGCAGTGATACAGGGCATCGGTGAGACCACATCTGGGGTACTGTGTACAGTTTGGTATTCTTGTATAAGAAAAGTACAATTGCATTAGAAACAATTCTTAGAGGGTTTACTTAACTGATACCTGGGAGGGAAGGATTATCTTACAAGACAAAGTTAAATAAGCTGGACCTGTATCAATTGGAGTTTAGAAGAATGAAAGATGATCTTATTGAGGCATTTAAGATCCTAAAGGGACTTGGCAGAGTAGATGATGAAAGACTGTTTTCTCTTCTTGGAAACAATAAAACAAGGGAGCATAGTTTAAAATAAAGAATCTCTCATTTAATAAGGCAACAAGGAATTTTTTTTTCTCTTTGAGAGTTATGAGTCTTTGGAACTTTCTTTCCTCCAGTGGGGTGGAGGTAGGATCATTAAATATTTGCATGGGAAGGTTAGGTAGAGTCTTGATTAACAAGGAAGTCAATAAGTATTGGGGACGGGGTGGATTGGTGGAATGTAAAGTTCAGACTACAAGCAGATAAGCTATGATCTTATCGAAATTGGAGCAGGCTTAAGGGGCTAAATGCTTTACACCTGCCCCTAGTTCATATGCAAATACACTCTTAATGAAATCATGCTGTACACAGACTGGGGTGCTGCCATTCATACATTACAACAGTGACAACACTTCTGAAATATTTCATTGCCTGTAAAGCACGTTGTGATGCCCAGAAGTTTTTGAAGTCCCTATATAATACAAATTATTTTCTTGGAGCTTTACTACATTGTTTTTGTGCTGCCACACTTGTCTGCATTCGGTCATTTTAGTTTTCTTGAATAGTTATTTCCGTTTGCTTCCTGCGGTGAACTAATTTTGATACCCTGATATGCATCTGCTCTTTTGTTTGTGTTCAGATTCTGTTGCATTTCAGGTAACTCCATTACAAGAATATGTAAAGAAAAAAAAGAGTTGATTTGATAGATTTAGGTGCCTAAGGCACACTATGTGCAGGAAAACCAGGTCAGTTGAATTGATTTAAGGGAACTCTGCAATTAAATTTATACCTTCCAAAGAAAACAGAATATGTCCCTAATTTTAATGGCCGACTGTGAGGAATATTGAAGCATGAGTAATTTTAGAAAGATTTTCTTTTCATCAACTTCAGCAATTAGTAATCGGAACTGTGCCTGATTAGCAAATGTGCTGTAGCCCTCACCAGAAGGCACAAGCCCTTTGTTATATGGGCTGAGCAGATCGCTAAAGGATAAGGGAAGAGTTGAGGAATTCGATCCTATCTAGCAATTTGCTGCACGATTAAAATATCAGCCCACTGCAGATAGAAACCCAAGATCAGCTGTAAATGGCACATTTTCAAATATAATCCATACAGAGGCACAGTCAGCAACAACTTTTGAGCATCTGTACAGGCTGAATTCCTTTCCCCCCATCGTACTAACTGGTATATACTATTTCCAGAGTGTCTGGGGAATCCTCTGGTGCACTTAGAATTTTGACATTAAAATTGTGCAATTTGGCCAATGTTTAATTGCTATTTAATTTCATAATTTATAGGTATTTAAGGAGTGATTTTTCCAAGTCCCT